TGTGAAGTTTGTACGCCGTGCGATAAATGGTTCCGGAGTTATGGCCTCTTAATGTTTCGCGGTATGCGTTCACTTCGTCCGCCGAATATGTAGAGTAAATTTTAATAGAAAACAATAGGTAATCATTGAACGATGACCAGTTATGCCATAAATGTACCCCAAATAGCTCTTATATACATCCATGGTATCGTTAATTGGTTTGTTTCCTATTATAAATTACCCTATGTAATTATTCATTATTCTTTAGTTTGTAATATTTATTTCATCATATTTATGTATTTATTCGTATGGCCATATTAATACATTAACAATACAGATTGATTTTTATTCGTAAAAAAATGTTATTTGTAAAAAATTCCACGACCAAGGGGACAGAATGTAGGCCGACGATCGCGTAATTATTTCGGCCAACAGTATTATAGAAGTTTTCAAAGTGAAAATGCACAATTACAATGAAATGTTTTTCAACATTTACGAAATGAACGAGGAACTACATCTGCAGGTCCGTCAACAAATCCAGCATCAAGACGAACGTCACGAATTTCGCGTCATGCACAAGCCATGGAATTTGCTGCATTTCATTACGACAGTGAAATGGATTACAGTGAACATGGTCTTATTTGTGGAATAACGGTGAGATGTTTACATTGACTGGCATGTGTTGTGCTAATGGCAAAGTGAAATTGCCAGCATTCGAATCTCCCCTGATCCACTGCACTCATTGATTTTTGTAACATCACCAACGTCCAAGCATTTTTTGTCCCACATTCAAAAATATAATACGCCATTTCAAATGACTTCTTTTGGTGCGACGAAAGTTATAAGAGACAGTTTTATGCCGACGTTCGAGGTAATTATTTCACGGCGTTGTACGATTGAGAACGTTTTACCTTTTTATCAACACGATTGAGACCGATGTTGGCAGATCAAAGAAACAATATTTTGTACCTTAAAATCAAACGATTGAGAACGATATTTCTAGCGACGTTGCCATTTATTTTAACTTTTAGTAAAAAATTTTAGGGCTGGGATTTTGATGGAAATGCATCTTTTTTCGTTTTTTTGAAACGTTGTTTTGTTAATATAAAATGTGTAAACTGATTTTTTTTATATTTTTTTAAAAAAAAATGCATTTTTTGGGCATTTTTCACAATTTGTTATATAAAAAAGTGAAAACCTTGAAAATGAATTATCGAAAATCGAGTCCTCTAATTTAATATAAAACATCCATAACAACCTCTTCAAAAACATATAAACATAATATGTATATAATATACATAATTTATTGTATTAAAAATATAAGAATTTATAAAAATTAAAACTTATCTCATAAAATAATTAGTGTATTAGATACATATACAATACGTCAATACGACTATACGAATTCGTAATTACATTAAAAGTAACAAATAAAATTGAGTTTATAAAGGTGATTTATTTCAATACAATTATATACATTCGATTATTTGAATTATTTTATTATTAATAGGTAGGTATGTTACAAAATAAAATATATTTATACAATATATAGGTACCTGTAGAAATAAGTAAGATAAACAAAATACATACATACTGACTTCCGAAAAATAATAATACACTATCCGTGTGTTCCTAAACGTTTGCATATTGTTATCAAATCCATCGGGTTTCATTTCAGTCCATCCTTTAGAATAGCAGATTGCTGATAAGTCAATCGGCTTGATTACCTCCCCTCCAGCGGCTGACCAATCTGATAAATTTAGGAACACACGGTATATTAAGTATATAAATACGTACTAAGAACCTCCAATAAATTAATTTTTAGAACTTACAGCATTATAACTTAAAATTAATGTTTTCTATAGCTGATTTTTTTGCTTTCCTCTTTAAATAAAATTTTGTTATAAAATATATTAAAAATACTATTATTACGACAACTAAATATTTGTTCGTGTATATAAATTCATACGTTTTATTTACAGTAAGTGAATTTAGTAACATATCTTGTTGGTCTAATTGGATATTTATTTTATTGAACGCTTCTTTATTAAATTTAATATTTATTTATTTCATCGAAGTGAATAGCTTTGGGATAGGGCTGATTTGAAAAGTTGTAAACATTACAGCATGAATCATTCATCAGAGATAAGTCTACTGGAACTGAGAAATATGTTTTTGGTTTAATTTTTGTTCAGTTTGTAGTACACCTTTCGAGGTGTAAGCATCTGATCTCAAGTATAACTTCCCAGAACTTTTAACTTAAATTTTTTGCGTGAAAGACTATTTATTACAAATTATAGTTGTTGTAGTGGGTTTATCACATACAAAAAACCAATGATTTTTGAAAAATGAGGATACCACATTTCTGTTTTGAATTCAGAGATATAAGTATCACATTGAGGTAGTTTAGTTACAGCATTTTTTAGTAATTCTGTTACACACGTGGGGTCCGTGTCACAATTATGTATAATTTTATTAAATCCACAAACAAATATTTTTGCCACTACTTTACAGTTATTTAAAGCTGGCCAAATAAAATATTTGGTCATTATTTTGTCCATTAACAAATACATAGAATTTTTAGTCATATGGAGAAATTGACCATGTTCATTAATTGGAATGTAAATCGGTAATATGTAATAAACGTTAAAATTTTCTATAAGGCACATTGGAAATTTTAAAGAAAAAATAAATCTGTCATTTACTGTGTGCATTTCAATACTTAATATTTTGAATATTTCTTGGATATTCTTCATCAAATTTAACAGGGATTTTCAAATCCTTCGGGAGAATAGTCTCTATATTTTTTATTTCCGATAGCAATTGGTCGGGTGTTATTATAAACGCATCTACTATATTATTCTGAACGTTAGAAATTACTCTTTGTAACCTACTTATAAATATGTCCAATTCAAATATAGTGTGTTCCATAAGACTTATCGAACTCGGAATAATAATTTTTCTATCTTCGTTAGATATCTCAATAATCATTTCGTTCAATTTTGTCTCGCCTTCTTTCATATTTGCAACATAATTTCTTATTTTCATTAAATGATATAACCGAATAAAATTAATTATTGTGCTTTTTAATATAGATATCTGATCATGAACAATACGCATAAAATCTTTCTGATCGTTTTCTAATTTATTGATCGAACTATCATATTTTCGTACATCATCAGCATCAGTTATTCCATTCATCTATTTTAATACCGTATCCCCAAACTCAATAGATCGCTTCACCTTTTTGTTCTATCTACCCATTTGTACAATTAAACCAATCTCGTTTTCCAATTTATTCGCATATTTTTTTAACTGATACAAAGTTATAGACATTTCTTTGAACGCAATTAGTTCAATTGATTTTAACACTTGCCTAATATTTCTAAGACTGCTATTTAAAAATTTCAAGGTTAGGTTTCAAAAAGAACAGAATATCCTGCTATCATACATAATTTTATAAATTACAACATTCTGCGATTTCGGTCAGATATTAGAAAAGCAGTTAAATATCATATGAGCACAGATTTAGCACTTTAGCAAAAGACAACAGGTGAAAAAAAAAAAAAAATGTCAAGTGTTAAGAATATTTTAGGATTACCAAATGTAAACTAAAACTATAATAACTAAAAATTATTTTCTTGGTGTGCCATTACACATTTTAATGGTTATTTCATATTTCCTTGTTTTTAATTTTGTTTGAACCTTATATTTGTAGAGCTTAGAAAAGACATATCTAACGCTCCATACCACCGGTTGGGTCAACACAACAGTTGTGCTTCATACTTTTGCCAAAAGTTGATGAGATAAATTTCGTTCCGAAGGCACAGAAAAATCAGGTTTTATGGCTGAATTCCGAAACATTGTGTATAGGCTGCAAATAAAATCTGATAGCTTGATAGAGGATGTCGATAACAACCTATGTGAGCGGTTTAATTCCCTAATTAAGAGGATGCTACACCCAGTGGCGGTTTTTAGGGGGGCGAAGGGGGCGCTCCCCCCCCCCCCCCCC